TATATATATATATATATATATATATATATATATATATATATATATATATATATATAATTTCTTTAATTATCAATCCTGTTCAAAAAAGATTTCGGGATTTATCTTTCGAGATGTTTTAATTAATAGATTACCTGACAAGTTAAATTTATTGAAGCATATTTTGCCTGCGAATACGTTGAAGACTTTGAGAATAAATAATATGTTACGTAAGAATATGAGCGGTCTATTAATATGACTCATACAGCGTGGTACTTTCATGATCGACAGACAGCGATAAACTTCGTTAATTTTCACATTGCATCGCGTACAGTCTTTTACGATATCCTTCTTATAATAATAAGGGATAATCATTTTCCCATTTATAGTTTTTCTTTTAAGTAGTTCTCAATCTTTCTACTGAGATTAATAATTAATTTTTAATGTATTGGACCTCATATCTACCCAGATAGCACAAAATCTTTAGAGAATGTTCTGGCACGTTCTTAGGATGTATGAATATCCTTAGAACGTCCTTTGAAGATTTGTGCTATATGAGTAATAGCTTTTATTTTATAAATTTTAATATAAAACTATTGTAACTTTTTATCTTTACAATTTAGATTAGTTGTAACAATATGAAATGATATAATTAAAATTAATTGTAAATTATTTCGTGTATAAACATGCTAAAATATAATACAAAATCTTCCAGAATAAATCCAAGATGTTCTAAAAAGTATCCTAAGTATCCTTTTAAACACATCCAACATATTTTGTGCTATCTAGATGGTGAAATCATGAGAGAGATGTTGAAATATACATCTAACTGACATTTTGGGAATTGAAGGTAGATTAGAATTTAACACAGATAGAGATAGAGATAGAATATGAGAAGAAAAAACAAATAATATGTTTCATTTATAATTATTTTATGTTGCATTTATAATTCGGAAGCTCGAGAAACAGTCGAGATAACAAGCTACCTTAAGTATCGAGTTTTATGTCATCATAGAATATGTTTTTCTGTAAAAATAAATTTGTTAAAGAGCGCATCAAAAAACACCGAGATTCGTGAAAAGCAAAGCCATATAGGGCGCCACGTGTCATGGATACGTTCCTAATCGCGGAAAACCCACAGCAAACCGCGCGATTGGCCGCATGAGTGGACATTATAAAACCTTCTGGGGAAGAACCTGCGACAAACTATCAAGGTTATGCAGCTGACGCATTCAGAAACTCGAGTCAGTTGATAATGCGCGTTCGGTGAGTAATGATCCTTCTGGCGATGCATACAATTTGCGACGAAAGAGAACAAGAGAAGTAACGCAGTTCCACTTGACGCTCGACGTTTTCTCAAACACGAGGTTCGACGCGCGAAGTTAACGTCGCGCGACAAAGATTTGCAAACAATTCATAAAGTGAAGATAATTGTATTTTTGCATCGGATAAACAGAGACTCGACGCAATGCCCGACGCATATGAAAACTTTAACATGGCGATGCTAATGAACAACATCATTCCAGATAACGATGCAGAGTCGTACCTCGCGTTCAACGGTAATGCTCATAAACATGCACCTCGGAGCTTACGTACGTCTTGCTTTCGCTCCGCGAAATCGCTCTTCGAATCGCAATCGAAATAACAATACAATATTTTTTGTTATTATATTATTGCACTTTTAACTGCGCAGTTCCGCAACACAATCGCACTCGTATATTCGTACTCACGATACTCGCGTTAAATATATCACTTATTGATTGTATATGTGCAGATGTATATGTACTAACCATACCATGATCACGCGATTTCTCTGGATTGCATTCCAATACATTCTTTTTGAAGAAAATTTTACTCAATACCTATAGTTCACGTTACATATACTATAAAGTATCGAGTAAAATTTCTTCAAAAAGGATGTTTTGGAACGCAACCCTGTTATATCGATACGTTTAAATGTAATTCGATTTAAATGCAATTTGAATTGATAACGTAATACTTACATATATGTGCTAAATTTTGTTGTGAGTGAAATGAACAGTTTTGAAATGAACAATTGTTATACACTGACCAATACAATTGCAAATTTATCTTGTATTTCATAATACTTGCTATATTGTACATTATATTTGGTATTATTGTAATTATGACAACATATATGGCATAACATATTTTAACATATTTTATACTAATTTTACATAATTTGTTTACATCTGACCATGTTGTATTATGAGCTAAATTTTATTTACCACTGTTATTTACCAAGTAACGTACATCTCAATAATTATAGAAATATTTCATGATTATGTTTTGTTTTAAAGACTGAAAGTTAATATGGGCCATCAGGGAGTTATGTAGCATGAAATTTGTTAAGAAATTCAGCTATACTTTCATATATTTTTTATCTTCTAGATTTACCACTGGTATCTAATACGAATATATTAAGTCCATACAGCAGTTCTGGGTCTCAGGGAAATATGAGTGCATCTCCCATGTCAACATCCTCGTCACCTCAACACTTAACAGATTATATTACTCTTAACGATGATACATACAGATATGAAGGTATTTTTGTTCATCCAATATATTGATTCTTAATTATATATTCTTAATTGTTATCAAATGACAATTATATAGGATACTAACTTGCTAACTATCTCTATTTGCAAATGTATCATGTGCTCTTGATGATTTGTATCATTAATGATTTAAAGCTGAATTTCATAGGAAAAACTTATTATACTTTTTAATTTTTTTCATAATAGCAGTTGGTGAACCATACCTTGAAATCATAGTACAACCAGCAGAGAAATTCAGGTTTCGATACAAATCTGAAATGATGGGAACACATGGAGCTTTGGTGGGTATACCACATGGAAATTCGCGAAAGAAACCTGCACCTGCAGTCAAAGTAAGTTTAATGGATTTTATGAATTAATGTTTAATGAATTTATGTTTAATGAACTTTACCAACAAAGAAATTATCTATACAATTATCTGGATCAATTTGCGTAATGTTTCTCTCATTACTAATATCACTTCAAATTTTCAGTTAAATAATTTTTCGGATAAGGCGATAATACGATGCACATTAGTTACATCTGATGATGAATGTAGAAATAATGATGGATGTAGAATATCGCATGCTCATAGATTAGTGAAGCGAGAGGGTACGGTGGATCAAGATGAACCACATTACTTGGAAGTTTCATCGCAAAACAATTTTACAGCCACGTATGTCTAATATCTCATTCTACATAATATGCCAGACATATATCTTCATTTTTCATTTCATTTTCCTATTAACATTATACTTATGATATATAATTTGTAAATATATGTTGATATGAATATTTGTATGTATTTCAGATTTGCTGGCATGGGTATAATACACACCGCGAGAAAACACATCAAAGATGAACTAGTACGAAAAATGCGCAATGAACATTTGGAAAATTGTAGACGTACAAACAGAAATGCTATTATTAGTATTCGCGACGACGCACAGGTAGTTTATTTCCATTCCCACTGTCATCTCCTTTGGTTTTGATAAAAACTTCATATTACACGTTTAAACATATATTTAGTATATACATTTACAAATACATATAATGAAGTAATCGTGATTACATGTGCTTTTGAAAACTTATATCTGTTCTTTAACTTTGAATCTATTTAAACATGTCTTTAAGTAAAAATAAGAGTCATTACTCTCTCCGGCGAATCAAGAAAGACAATTAGTAATGACATTGTATTTTAAGATAAACCGAAATTCATATTAATATCATATTAATATTAAAAAAATAATATTAGTATCTAATAGGACTAAGACATCCGTGCTTGCTTCTTACATGCCATTTTCAAATCTTAATATTAATGACATCGTATTATTTTTATATGTTTTCTTCACATGATTAGCCGTAGTTCGTATAAACGATTATTCGTATGTTATTATATAATATATATGTATATATGTATAATATATACGTGTCGCAGAATCCGTTTAAACGATTAAAAATTTAATTATATCGAAGCCGTTTCTATCAAGCGTTTTATCAACAAATGTATGCTAAACGTTTAAACGTGTATTCAAAAAATAGATTGAAGCGAGAGTTCAAAGAAAAAACTTTGACAAAACCTGAACTAATTCTTCATCTATTGCTTTCGGATTTCACGGCCATATAATTTTTTTTTTTTTGTAATGTTTCATCTTGATTACAGATTAAAGCTAATGCAGAGAATTACCAAAAGTCTATAAATTTGAACAGTGTCGCTCTTTGTTTTCAAGCGTTTATAGCAGATGATTTTAATATCATGAGGCCTATTACGTCGACGGTTTATAGCAATCCAATCAATAATTTGAGTAAGTTTTAATAATTTACCATGATATAATTTTTGTTAAAAATTTTTGTTATAATTGAGATTTCAAAATACTTTTATGATTAAAAAGTTTTAATATTGATATTTTTTAATAGAGAGCGCATTAACTGGAGAACTTAAAATATGTAGAATTGACAAATATACAAGTAGTTGTGAAGGTGGCGAAGAGGTGTTTATATTTGTAGAAAAAGTTGGTAAAAGTAAGTAATATTGTTAGTATATTGTTATAATATTGTAGCATTTCTATTCGACATACCTTGTCACAATGACATGTACTATATAGATTAATATATTTTATATATATTTTATATTTTATATTTTATATTTTATATATATATATATATATATATATATATATATATATATATACACACACAAACACACACACACATACATATTTTTTTATTATAGAAAATATAAAAATAAAATTTTTTGAACTAAACGATGATGATGTCGAGATTTGGTCCGATTATGGCCGCTTTTCGGAATTAGATGTTCATCATCAATATGCCATTGTATTTCGGTATGTATGCTGCGCGTTAAATACTTCACAATGTAAATAATTGATTACTATTAATATGTTTGCAGAACTCCACCATATAAAGATCAGAGTATTACTTCTCCACGAGAAGTCTTCATACAATTAGAACGTCCTTCTGATTCAGATTGTTCAGAACCAATCAAATTCACATATAAACCTAGTGATCGGATGATAGGTGAGTCACTGTTATTTTTACATATGTTAACAACACTGTTATAAATTGTTTTCTTTTTCATTTTTTGTTTTTAATTTTAGGTAGAAAAAGAACGCGGGTTTCTCATTCCAGTAGTGTCGAGTTGACACAAGTAGCATTTAACCACAACGTAAATTCGACACCGGATATACATATGAATTCTAATGAAAGTGAAATGTCTACAGAAATAAAGAAAATGTTGGACGATAGATGTTCTTCTAGTGAATTCCGCGATTTTGTTGAAAGCATAGATATAGAAAGTAAAGTATTGAATTCTTTATATCCATCGGTAAATTCTAGGATCTCAACTTACACGTTATCTTTAAAATATCGACGTGTTGTTTAATGTAGATTAATGTTTCAGGGTACACGAATTTGTTATCCAATAGCGAAGAGAATAAATTAACTTTCGATGGACCATCAAGAAAGGCAAGTATCGAATTCATTGTATACCGACTTACAAAACATGTTAGTAATTACAATCTTCATTATTATTATGTCAGTGTTGTAACGTTGCATTTTGTGTACTTATAGCAAGAAACCGACAAATTATTTGCCAGGAATGTTGTTATTGATGCTTTGAAACGAATCAAAGTGGAGCCAGATAAAGAGAAGCAAAAAGATATTATCAAAAACTCGTTCAAGGATAGATCAACTTACGGAGACTCACCACTTCATTCTGCGCTTCGATATGGACAAAGGAATATCGCCAAATATATCTTTATACTTATGAGCACTCTTCCAGATCATAAAGATTTAGTGAATATTCCAAATAGTTCTGGGAAGGTGAGTTTTTCAGAGATAACGGTACATATATTTTTAAATAATGATAAAAATATATTAATATATTGTAATATCTATGTATATATGTGTTATAGACAGCATTGCATTACGCTGTTACACAAAATCAACCTGATATTACTAAAGTATTACTTCTGCTGGGTGCAGATCCAAATCTTCCTGATCAGTGTAGACAAACGCCATTGCACAGTGCTGTGAAATGTATGTATACCGATTCAAAAATATTTAAAATAATCGAACACAATATGCTTTCTAAATTAATATAAAATGAGTATCTTAAAGTATCTCGATTTATTTCAAATCAAAATAATAGCAACAAAATGTAGTACGCAACTGTGTTATGTATCTATAATTACATGGAAATATAATTTTTCAGTTCAAGAAACGAGAGAGTGCGTCGACATTTTACTGAGTGCAAAGGATATTAACTTAGAAGTTTACACAGATTTAGGGTGGACAGCTTTACATTTAGCTGCTGAAGCGGGATCGTATTATGCAGTGCAGTCTCTTGTTAAAGCAGGCGCAAATGTCAATAATGTTGACATGTCGTGCGGGAGAACTGTTTTGCATATAGCGGTGGAAGGAGGACATCGGGATATAATTGAGTTTCTGTTAAAAAACGTACTGTGAAATGTTTCGTTTACAGATATATCTTTCCCGTATAAATGATACTGATATTTTTTATTTACTTTATAGACCAACATAAATGTAAACAAGAAGAATTTTGGTGGAAATACGGCATTGCACAATGCAGTCGTTACACCGGGGGCGAAAGCTAAAGAGATATGTGCTCTTCTGATAAAACATGGTGCTGATCCACATATAAAGAATCATAATCGCGAATCAGATCAAGTATGTCTATATTCATTTATTAATTTAGTAACGTAATTAAATGTCCAAATATATAATGTATTATTTTTTATACATATGAAACTAATTTTAATCCAAAATATTTTCTTGCTATTTCGTGATATGGTGACACTGTCGTGGTATATAACATGAAAAATAGCATATAATATTCGGGGATAATAAAAAAAATAATATTAACAAGAATAATTACTAAGTGAGAGATGTATTTTGTATAAATTCTAGCAAGATGAAAATGCTACATAAAAGTATCTAAATTAATTTATTCTTTCCTTAAAAGAAAATCCTTTTTGTAGAAAAAGATTTATCGTTATCGACAATGAAAATAATTTCAGTACGTCTTAAATAAATTTTGTAAATAAATAATGTAATAAATTTTGTAAATAAATAATGGATTCGACAAAAATGAATAAAGTATTTAAACAATTTTCATTACATTTTACAATCATACTTTTCTAATAGGAAGAAATGGTAGTTACACCAATTATAAAATGTGAAATGGATTCGGAAGATGAAAATGTTGAAGAACTCTCCGGGCAATCGTCCTTCGACTTAGCATCAAACGATCCAGATGTACGATAATGCAAAAGATACCTATTCCATTACTCTTATTACCTATTGGTCAATAAAAGAAAAATTTTGCTTCGTTTCAGATCTTAAGCCTTGTATCCGGTAAGCATGATGTATTATTGAATATAATTGACTCAATTAAAAAAGAAGAAGATATTGACGAAACGCAACAGAAAATTTGGCTGGATGCAGAACAAGAAAAGCAATTGTCAGCTATTCTAGATAGAACGAAAGGATGGAATAAATTAGCTGATTATTTCAATTATAAATATCTAGTGAAGACTTTTCAGCAAAGCTCGTCCAGTCCGACATTACTTCTCTTAAATTACATCGCTGTAAGATATTATTCTCTTATACAACATTTTATGTTCTCTCGAACGAAATAGATAATCAAAGTGCGTAATTTTTACTCCTCTACTAGATACAAAGTGAGACGTCTCTTGAGCAACTGCGAAATATACTACAAAATATAGGCGAAGAAGATGCTTCTACATACATGAGCCAAATTTTATCTAAAACATTCATGAAGAACACGGTTCGTTCGTGAATGTGAAGATGAATTATGTTACGTTTATACGTGTCGACACAGTCGACATGATTATGAACTATAAAATATTTTATTTTTTATATCATATATATTTGTATAAGTATGCATCACTTTTTTCATATACTGCATCAGTGTATTTGAGCTTTATATATACTTTATTTTCTGAAAGCGCAAGTTAATATTAAACAAATAAAATTAATTATACAAGTTTATTAATTTCTTCCGTTCAAATTGTGAAAATATGTATGATTTTTGCGCGAGAACAATCACTTGTGAAGCAAAGTAAGCTATACACAATACGCATCGAGAAAACTAGTCAACATCGCGGAAAGGAAGTAATAACGATTTCGGTATCTTCCAGTCACGAACACATCTTCTTTATGTAAATTTGGTAAATTTGGTTATTTTCATTAGTTCTCTTTTATTTAAATAAATTATATATCTATATAATTATTAATTTTTGTATGTAAATTATATATATTTACAAATGTACAATGATTGATGATACAACCAAATACGAAAACGATACTTTATCACTTTTTTCCTAGCGCTTAAAACATGTTAGCTTCTTTCATAGGTTCTGAATCTAGGAATCTCTGAAAACTTAGTTTGGACAAATCTATACTAACATAACGATTATAAAGTATCAACTCTGCTATTGCGCGGCCTACCGCTGGTGCCTTCTGAATACCGTGTCCACTGAAACCAGTCGCCATGAATAAATTCTTGTGATAAGGGTGCTGGCCGATGATACCGTTTCCGTCGAAAGTATTATACTCGTAATACCCAGCCCACGACGACTTTACCTGGTCGAAACATAATAATACAAATATAATTATACATTTCTAATGAAAAATAAACTTAATATGCTTCGAGTACCAAGATTTCTGAATATTTATTGTGATTATATTAAATTGCAACTTGAAAAACAAGATATAAAAAAGATGTCAATACTTTGTAACATCATAATTATATTACATATATGACTACAGCAATGAATAACGCAGTTAATTGCATTTTAACTGTATTTAATGTATAAATTATTTGTATTTGTAGAGATCACATAAATATCTCATAGTTAATATAATCAAGTTTAAATCTCTATCACGCACATATTATTATTTAGCGGAGAAAAGATACATACCTTTAAGTTTTCGAATGCCGGTACTCTGTGGGCGAGCGCTGGCCACACTTTATTGTCGAAATATTCATGGTCAACATCTAAATTATTCACCGACGGTTCTTCATGTAATTCTGGTGATTTTCCGCCAATGAAATTACCCGCTAGACCGTCTCGTCTGTGTAAATCATTTGAAATTTATATACGTAATACTACAATGTTATATTTGATTATATTTTATATGATTATATTTTATTTCGGTTCTAATATTGGTTAAAAATATTTATTATATTCCTCAAATATATACCTGAAATATGTACCATTGGTATCAATCGTTAAAGGTGTATTTAAACCAGGTCCGTTGGGACTATGAAAACAATACACATATCTTTTCCTACAAAAAAAGAGGTAATTCTCATTTAAACTTCCCGGTAATATTAGATTTACAGTAGAAGCAAATAGCAAAATTGTAAGTAATTTTTGCAGCTCTTAGTATTAATAAAATTAATAAAATTAATTACCTTGGTACCACTGGTAGAGGTACAGACAATATTCCTTCACCGGTTCCAATATCTGCCAATTCTGCTACATCGCCACTAAACGCGCCCGCAGCGATAACACACATACAAAACTGTATCTTCTTAATCTCACCATTACTTGTTTCTATCTAATATAAATATGCAATATTAGTATTAAAGATGATATTGGGTACATAACTGACAACTTGTCCAAAAATCCAGACAGTGGATTTGACCACCCAGTTTGTTCAATTAACGTTAACTAATGATTGTCAATTGACATGAAGTAACGCAACAACATGTGACATTTTTGGATATCAAAATTCTGTGGTTCTCGCTTACACATAAACTTTTACGAGAAACTGCGTTTTACAGATATGTATTCCCAGCGATGTCTTTTGTTGGGATTTATTAGGTCGCAAAATATCTTGCTGACGTTTGAACAAACTAGTTAAGCAAATATATAATCAGTTTGTAAATATTTACTTACAACTACTTCATCTAATTTTTTTACAGGTTCCATATCATTGTCGTAAGCACCCGGAATTATCCTATACTGGAAAGCTTTAACTTCTCCGTTAATGTAGTGAGCACCTAAGTAATTAGCTTTATTTTTCAAGGCGCACAACAAAGACCATGGATCAAACCATCCTTCCTTTTCAAGACCGAGACAACCCGCCGCGATCCCATCAGTATTCAACCAAGGAAACATGCGCTTCAATTTTTCCTGAGTGAGAACCACATTTTTGGCTCCTAAAGAATTCTGTAGCTTGGAATTGTTTACCAGTGTCTCAGCACCTTTTTCACTTGCCAATATTAAGTAGCCATAAGGATGAAAGTTTATATCGATGGGATTTTCATAAGGTATACTCAGATATTCATTGATATTACGCAGAAATTCTGCCCCATATAATGACATCTCAATATTTTCTTCAAGAGAGAATTGTTGGCGTAGGCCGCCTACAGAGAGAGTTGTAGAAGCCTTTGCATACTAAAACAATTAAAATTAAATACAATTTTAAATTTTAGTTACTGTTATATTCCAATAAAATAAGGAAATATATTTTAGAATTCAAAAAGATGTTCTCATGAAATGATCTTACTGTAGGATCCTTCTCAATTACGCCAACATTAAATTCATCTCTGTGTATCATCTTCTTTAACCAATATGCTATTGAACTACCTATTGCACCACCGCCAATAATAAGTACATCACACTGGTATGGAATATAATCGGCTTTTCTCCATTTAATTTCCAAGTCTGATAATAGTGTGTCATTTGAAAATATTTTCTTCAATTTCTTCAATGATGACCAATCTTGTTTTAAACTTTTCAACATTTTTTTACTTGCAATAGTAGTGTCATTAAAGTTTCTATATTTATTTATATCTTCATCTTTGTCCTTGGCTTCTGAACACTGCAAATTTAATATAGTAGTAATTATTGTGTTAATATTGTGTAAAATTAAAATTTTCCTTTAGCTGCATTTTCTTAACTTATATTTTTTTATTAATTTCTACCTTTCAAAAGTGTAATATACATGCAAATAAAAATGGAACAAGTTTATCACATCTTTATAAGTATGTGTAATAAATGAGATATGCTTACAGTGTGCTTCTATAGGTTATACATTAATTATAATTATTATTGTAACAACAAATATTGGTAATTTAATAACTTTTATTTCATAGTTAACGGGAAACTGTCTGATCAATTTATAACCTCAGTCGAACAATACACTCTTTACTATTACATATTTTATATAAATTACCTGCTTTCTGGACGGATTTATTACTAATTGAATTGCTGAGCAGTGTTTCAAAAAGCTTACATGTCCTTTCCCACATGTCAAATGTCGCAACATTTTTGTCAATTTTGAAACTTTTGTTACTTGTTGGAGAATGTGCAACCACTTAACCACTTTCGGAAAACGGTTATGCCGTACTTTTTTGTATTCCAATAAGTATTCGCTCTTTTTTGGACAGTGTCAAAACTACCTTTTTCTCTTCTTATTTCTTTTCTCTTTAAATTATTTTTTATTGTTTCGCGTCAAGACTATAAAAATATAATCAGCGATAGGATATAAAGTTCCGTGCCTCTCTGTGACAGTCAATGAACGCAGTGAATTCGGAGTCAAAATATTTATATCACGACAATGATTATGAATTTATAGTCATTCTTCGTGGAAGGGAAAACTGTGACTTCACGTTGATAAATAGGAAAAAATACATTTTTCGATTCGTTATCATATCGCTTTATTTTTTTATCGCACACAATCTACGATACACGTTATTTACACGTGATTGCATAAGCTGTGTTGCAAAATTCATTGCCTAACTATAGCAAAAAGCTATAGTTTATGTTACATATATTATAGATTTTCAGCACTATCAATAATTTTGAAACACAGCCATAATAACAGTCAACAGGAGAATCTAATATCCTAAAGGAGTTACTAACATCCTATTAGTAACTCTTATAATTAAAACTATCGGACAAGCTCTTATCAAAAAAAAAAAAAATATATATATATATATGATAGCTTATGAAAGACTGATTATATTTGCTCGTTTTCTCTATATTAATGTAGACATCAATTAATATTTCCTGTATATAATGCATATTTTTTCTAACATCAAACTTTAAATCGACTTTTTTCCTACGATTATGTGCAGTGCGCCACAAATGTTATTATTTTATAATCGATTTATCGCAAACGCAATCCACAGTTATTGCATAGGCATGAAGAATTGTTTAGAAACATTTTTCAGTTGCATTTTACAATTTATTCATTTGCTATAAATGTAGATATCAATTTACTAAAATAGAATTTAGCAAGTGTTAGCTATACTTGCCGAGCTTATCCTTCATAATTGTTTCGAAAAGATTTTATCATCTGACTTCTAACAATTGGTTATAACAAAAAAAACATAATTCTTGATATTATTAAAACATGAAAACAATACACTATTCTTTTTTAAATAATTGTTTAAGAAAAAAAACAAAATATATATTTGATTCTCTTATTCAAATGCATTAATTAATCATTGAATATATTATATTTAGGATATTTATTATTTTGGAAAGTTACTTTGGAATTAACTGTTAAATATATTGTTATCTGTAATGAGATTTTGTTGATCCATTTTGACATCGTTTTAGTAAAATATGTTGTTTCCTAAAAAAAAGTACACAGTCACATAATTTTTAATTATATTTCTTTTTTCTGACAATAATTTACAAAATAAGAAAAGGATAGTTTCTCTACAGTAACAGAAGATATAAATCACTAAGAATATTATGATATCTAGTTAAAATATTCAGCCATCATTTTGTTATATGCTTCTTACAATGTTGTATTTTGTATTAGTTTTATTAATGAACAAGAAAATAGAATGTAATATTTGAACAATGCTTGAACAATCATTCTCTAATAACATATATTTATATAGCTTGAACAATCATTCTCTAATAACATAGATTTATATAGCTACTATAAGTAATGGTAGTTATATAAATAAAATGCACAAATTTGTAAAATTTCATCTCACTTCATGAATGATGCTAACATATATTTTATACATTGTTCAAATTCAAATTCTAGACTAATCTTTTCCTGACAATAGTTACTCAATCATATATTTAACAAAATAAGCAATACTCTATTTCTATGAATAAGTATTTTATGCATTTCTGCTTGCTTTTGTATACATTATTAAAAAAAAGAGAAAAAACACTCTAATACCTATGTTATTGATAGACAGTTGATTCTATCTTATAACTTTGTATAGTTCGATTCATTTTCATTACGATATCTCGTAAACTTTCACATCCTAATAATGAGAAATCGTCAGCAAAAATGCTCACTTATTCTCATAAATCAAACAGACGACAGACAGAGGTACATTGCATTGTACCGTTGTTAAATCTGATAAGTCTTTATCCATCAAATTAATTCAGAAATACGACTTATCAGTATCAGTCTTTAATACCTTGATTATCTAACTTGTTGCAAGGTATCAATACTAGCTTCGGTATCATGCCAGGTGGCGTAATAAATTGTTGCGTAGTTTGCGTCGTAATTTGTGCAGAATATCGCATTTCCGCTTCCGTGACTATTTTGCAGATGTTCATCTTGATGTCCGCTTGCATCTTAGCCGGGAACTTTTTCACAGTTTGCGCCATGCTGGCGAAAAACAACTCTATGCTGCTTTTATTTTCGGATAGATATGTTTGATTAATATCTTCTTTCGCGTTGCCCGATTCCTCTACAGCTGTAGGTCCAGTCGTGACTGGCGTTAAAACGGAGCTCGTCACGAGAATAGGATTCGTTATTGTATTAGCATCAAGAAGCGTGTTTGCGCTGTTAGGCTTCAGTATACTATAAGAATTTGGAACACTAGAGGTGGACGCAAGAGACTTCGTTCGTTTTGGACGTATTTTTCGATACTTTGACTGTATTTCCTGGGCGTAACTGTCGATGTTCCGTTGCGTGGATTCCTGCGAGTTGATTGCTGTTTTCTGTGTAGCTAGTTGTTGCCGGCCGTTGCTCTTGTACGTTTCTACCATTTCAGACTCTAATATTGGATCCGCTGTTGTTTCCTCGAGAACCTCCAAGTACTCACTGTAATCTTCATCGTTTCGATCCTCCAATTGTTCCAGTAAACCTTCTGAGCTTATTCCACCTGCGTTTATGTCTTGTATATACTCCTCAGTCAGTTCTACGCATTGTGGTTGATAATCGGACTCATGCCTATAAAAATAACCTTGACTGAGAAAACGAAACTCAGCAAAACGATTTTGTTCTCACAAGAAAATTATTCTTACGGGAATTTTAAGAAACTCAAATGATCTTCAAAGATCCATTTTTTTCTTCTCACACCCTCTTCTGTTTTGACTTTATACTTTAAGATACGGCAATAGGTATCCCTAAGGTTCTTCCATTTTAATCTTACCCAAGTTGCTATAATAAACAATATCAAGTTTTACTATTACTGTATATTTATTCAGTAATAAATTAATGCAATATCTTATCATATATAAAAGAGGAACATAATCATATAAAGAATCGATAGACAAGAAAAATATTTTAGGTTTCTTTAAACACTGAAACAGATGATATCGTGAAAAGTAGAGGAGAAAGGAATAAGAATAAGAAAAAACAGAAATAAATGAAATAAAATTAATATCTTTTGGGTTCTGCTGATAGGTTCAGTCACTTTTAAATAAATCAAGAGGCTTTAAGAGTCTTTACATACAATGATCGTAATATAATATAATCAACTGGATATCAATCCCAGTCAATGATTTATTTACAAATCTTTAGCCCATCTTTAGAGTTCATTGAACTAAAGATTTATAATTATTGATTGGGATTGATGTTCAATTGATATTACATTACAATAATTATGTGTAAAGGCTCTTAAAGGTTCTTGACTTATTTAAAAAAAATAAATGATACTACATTCACATAATAGGACAGATGTAAACAAGAACTCGCAAAGGACGTACGATCGAGTCCGAGCTCATCGGAGATGCGTTTCCAGACTTTTTGTCTGAAGTCTTGTAACTTGATCGACGGACCTCGCACCTCTGTGCTGTACAATACTGGATGTTGTTTGATCGCTTCTATGATCTTCAGCGATATCTTGTGCGAGTCGGGTGGTACTGGCATCATCTTGCGTTTAACCTGCGGGAAAAAGTCGGAGCGTGGTTAGATGTAATATTTTGCGTATAATACCATATACGCTTCGCGATCGTTGGTGCATCAATCGTTTTCATATTCCCGCCGTCAAATTAAAGCCCGACGCGGTCAGACACGACGACGCGACATTTTGCGTGAAAATCGCCGATGTCGATCAGTCCGCGTTTATTCCGCTGCATTTCGATGTGCGTAAATCGTCGTCGCTGCTGCCGCGTGATTGCGCGCGCGGACATAAACATGACGTGGTTAAGATTGGACGTGGGAATCGGACGTTGGCTAACCAACGAACCTATTGGAAGTATTATGCACCTTGCAAATTCGCGAAAATCGCTCGACGATTGAAAGATTCCGGTAAAAGACACGACGTTCGCGTACACGGCGGCGTTTGTTGTTATTACAATGTCGCCATCATTAGTTCGTCGCCATCATGCATTTCCGTCGCGAACTCGCTCTTGCGGCCCGGAAATCTAGTTCTATTGGTGCGCTCTGTTCAAAATGCCGTCCTGGTCCCCTATTCTTAAAATAGTTGCGTACACGTAAATTTTACTGCACAGGTTTAATTATACTATAAAATAGTTGCGCAATGAAAATTACATATACGTAAAAATTTCAAGAATAGGGACCTAGATTTTACATTTGTTTTTAAGTCTGTTCTTTTTAACTGCATTGTTGCACTGGTGCAATAAATTATAATGAGACAAATATATTTTATTTCACTTTAGCTTATTGTACCAGTATAGCAGTACAGCTGAAAAGAACAGACCACTTTTTTCATGTGTCAAGTAAACTCATTGAAATATATACTACCTGGAACGCGCGCTATCTCTTGAATATTGCGAGATAAGAGAGAGCATGCTTATAGGTCTCGAACAGCGCTCTGTCTTTGTCACAGTACAGTCTGCACCAAAAGCTAAGTCGGCTGATTTCTAAACATAAGCTGAATCTCCGAATTAGGAACCATCTTTGCTTTGTTTTTCTTAATAATAAGTCGATAAGTGAATATTAATAAATGAGAAAAAATATATATATTTTTTTTGTATGTTAAATTTTCGTTTATAAGCTTAAGTTATTGCCATTCAGTGGTCACTGCTTTTCATATTATCTCTAACTTTTAACTTGGTTTGTATCATTCTCCCCACTCTCGATTATACTATGAACTAGACAAAGATAAAAGAGAAAACAAGGAACCTCTCTCATTTCTTGGCTGCGTTCAAATTTCTTATCTGGGTGCACTCTATTACTAAAAACACTATAGTATATGTAACATATACTGGCTGGGTTTGCTTTGAGCACTTATGCGCTATAAGCGTCATTCTATCTTCTTCCCACATGTAATGAGCGATAAAGATAGAATGGCGCTTACAGTGCGTAAGCCCCCAAAGCGAACGCAGCCACTATAGCACTTCTAGTACTAGAGTGCACCCGGGTAGGGAATCTGAACGCACTCCATCGGAAGCGTCCCGATTGACTACGGTACGATTAGACACAACCAACCGATGCAAAGAATTATTTAGTGAATTACCAGGTCGAACTAATCATTACAATCTATGTCCAATCGTACCGTGGTCAATCGGGTTCCATCCGGCCGATACCGATTTTCACGCTGTTCGATGCGCCATCTGCATCCATTTTTGAGGTGGAACTATGTTCCCTACGCCCATTTTCAGACGCCGGTAAAGTGTCGATTTGTATTGCGTGTCCATTCTACACTTATTTTCAGTCATACTACTTTACGCTCATTTTCCGATCTTAAATAGATCGGACCATTATCCGTATTTTCTGCTCCGGCTATTAATTCTGTTCCTGCGGATGTCAATATTTTTTTTGAACTTCTTGCACTTCGATTGAATTTGGCACTAGTCCTTTTCTTACATCTGTTATGCCACAATTGCATGTATAAAGGAAAAGTATATTGAAACTATAAGTGAATAATACAGATGTTAATTATATCATATATTAAAAACTTTATTAATCTATTGTGTGCGTGTATGATGATGTGTGTGTGTGTGTGCGTGTGTATGTGGTGTGTGTATATTGGGAGTACAAATAAGTCTCCGCCGTTTGACAAAAGATGGCCCTACCAGTAAGTTATAGTTGAAATTGTCAGATGTAAAATGTCATATCGTAAGGTTGAACATCTGGCAACACCATAACCTTGAAAT